CACACCTTTTGGACAAGGAACAATGAGAACAGACTAAGTTAACTTCTTAAAGTTCTTTCTCCTACCCTTCAAAATTCATGGCCAGAGACACATGTGGAAAAGCAGCAAAATAATTCTCTTTGAAGACAGCATGAAGGTTGCCTGGTCTGACCCAATGGAAGCAAAGGAAGTGGAAGGGAAAGGCTCCTTTTAGTTCCATATAGCACAGACCCACTCACAGGTAATGTACTTGCTAAAGCCAACACACAATTTCTTCACTTACACAACTGCTACATTTACTTGCAAATTTAGAGAAGAAAATGTCAAAAGGTGATTACACATTGCAATGAACAGAAACACCCACATTTCTTTTACTACCTCTCACAAGAAGTATGTGTGTGGGAACACAGTTTACTTAATTCCTAGAAGTCACAGTAGGACTGTGGCTGTCCACAAATTATATCTGACTTACTGAAAAAAGTTCTGAAACTTTGGAACACATTACTATATATTTAAAGCTATATTAACAAAGACTGCCTGTACCACAGATTGTAAGGCTAAAACACATGCAGTGCAACTATTACCTTCTATTTGCCTGTGTCCTGGCAGAAATTTGAACTATAAAACAGTAAGTTCCCAATGGTTGTTGAAATCTATGCAGTTGTCCTCAAGTTTCCTCTCAGCAGAACTAAGCTTGCTCACATAGCTCAGTCAATATTCAATGAACTGATCTTTATTCCACCTCTGGAGGAAAAGGCCAAGTCCATGTTGAATGTTCTTGTCCCAAATCTTAATTAAATATCACATGCAAGAACAGAGCAACACTGAAGCCTTCCTAAAAAGGCTTGAAAAGACAGTCACCATCTAAAAAAAGCCAAGGGCTCTGTCTGGGAAACATGCTGTTGGGAGCCAGCACTTACATTCTCTTGATTCTGGCCTATAATTCATAAGCTTTTCCCTTTCTACAAGTGAAAAATTCTGTCTAAAGTCAAAAGTTGAAAAGCCATTTTGAAAACAGCTTTTTCAGATTCCTATCCTGAATGTTTGCCTTGTGTGAGTCCACTTTCCATCACATCAAAGGCTCCCCAGCCCCCCTGTTGGAATCATTAAGCATATTGACTTAGAAACATTTTACATCATTTCACCACTGCAGCCCTTGAAGACAGAATGGGTTTCCTCTAATTTTCTAGATCTTCTAATAATTTATTTGCCATGGAAGTACTGATGCTTACACTGGTCTGAATGTCTGGAGTATTTCTTTTTTTGGAGAGGTTTAGTAGCAAACCAAGCATTTTCATCTCCCTAGAAGCTCTGTCCACAGCTATTATTCCATCCATGCGTTGAAAGGTTAACCATTTAAAATAGGAGGTTTATGTTTTATAGAAGTTGATAACATTTTAAGAAAGGATGGCAAAGAAGTTTGTGGGAACTATTAGGCTGGGGTGAGTTTATTGGTGGGTAATTTTACAGATAAAACTGCTGCTTAGAAACTCAGCAGAATTGAAATATCTCACAAAAAGGCAGGACTACAATGTCTCATGTGTTTTTTTCCAAAGAACTACAGAAAAGCACCAAATGAAAAGCTGAGGGACAAAGCTGAGTGTGGTTACAACATTAATGCTCAGCATAGGGCAAGATATCTTGTGGATCTATAGTGTTTAGTGCTTAATATGAGGGACTAGTGAAAGGCTAAAATAACCCTTGTAACCTTCTCCATATATAATGAAATGCAATCCTGTAATTGCATTGAAGAATACAATGACTTGGGACTTTGTCTGAAAAAAAAAGATGCAACAGGAGTCTCAGTAAGTTCAACAAAGGGCAATGCAGAGTCCTGCAGGCTGGGATTAATAACCCAGTACAGGCTGGGGATCAACCAGCTGAAAGCAGCCTTGCAGAAAAAGGCCTGGAATCCTGGTAGAGAACAAACTGGACATGAGTCTGCAATGTGCCTTTGCAGCAAAGGTTGTGTGAAGTGATCCCTCCCCTGTCAGCCCTGGCTATGGCCACAGCTGGGTCCTGGTCTGTGCTTCCCAGTACAAGGCAGACATGGACAAACTGGAACAAGTCCAGCAATCCAGCAAAGGTGCATAAAGACGGTAAAGAACTGGAGCACATCTCATATGAGGAGGCTGGGAAAGCTGGGGCTGGTCACCTTAGAGATAGCTCGTGGAAGGATCTCATCAATGTGTATAAACAGCCTAATGAAAGGAGGAAAGAAGATAAGAGACAAGCCCTTTTGAGTGGTGTTTAGTGAAAGTGCAAGAGGCAATCAGCACAAATTCAATGCAAGAAATATTAAAATATATTGATAATTTAGTATTTAAGAAAAATGTTTTTCACAGCAAGGGCATTGAAGATGGAACAGGCTGCCCAGAGAAGCTGTAGAATCTCCATCCTTGGAGATATTCAAGACCTGACTGAACACAGTCCTGAGCACTCTGCTCTAGCTGGTCCTGACTGAAAGAGTCAGTTGGACCAGAGAGTCTTCTCACATTGCTGTTAACACCTCAAATATTCTGTGATTCTGTATAAAACCAGGTTAATTGTCATAAATACTATATTCTACCTTAATCCACTGTATGGTGAAAATCTGAAGTATGGAAGGTAAGGAGACCTGTGGGAACTTTACAGAAGCACTACCTAGAAGCTTCAACTGAATACAATGCATTCAGGTTATATAAACCTTTCTTTCGTAGCAGAACAATAATTAGAAAAACTCAATTATGGTCTTTACAAATATCCATGTAAAGACATTTGTAATTATTTCTGAAGTTAAAATAAATAACCTCAAAATCCACCAACATGACCCTGCTTTTGGCATCTAAATAAGAATGAATTATCTATTTTTAAAATGTAAAAAACTTGCATTGCTAGAAGTTGAATATCCACCCACCTCTATTCACTGAAAACCCAATCATTAAAAAGGTGTGTGTGGGAAGTCATTCCAGTTGAATGCCTTACCACCATGAAACCAAACCAAACCCAAGGCAATCATTTGCTCTGTAGTTACTGATGTGCTCTACAGCAGAACCCTTTGCCTCCCCCAACACATTCTATTACAATATAATAGATTATACTAAACACCAGTGCATGAAATAGTATAAGCAATTAACAAGGAACTTGTGGCCAACCATTTAAAATGCAAATGCTTTAAAATAGGTTTTATTATAGGTTTTATTATTTATTATATTATTATAGTCAAAACCTCAAGTTTAAATTTAGTCAGTAGAGGTGGCATGCATCCTGTAAGTAAGGTCATGACTCTCAACTAGTGGTCAAGCACACTTTACAGGACTGTTACTGAGGGAAGTCCACTCCTCTTCCTCTAAGTCCACTCTAAATCTAAGAATGCATCCCTAAATGGAGAGCTTAAAAACATTACAATAAGTGGAAAAAACCCCTTGGTGCTCAGTGGCTTTGAAAAGCTCCCTGCTAAAGAAAAGAAGTTTTAACTTACAGGAAAGCATACCAGCTAGGTGAAACAAAATTTCACCTCTTAAAACCAGATAATTTTAAAATTTAAAATTAGTAACTGTGGATTTAGAAACCTAAACCACAGGCATGTAAATATTTAGAACTTTTTTTTTTTTTAAAAACCAAGCTTTTCATCCTTCCTAAATCAGAGAATCTTGGTGAATAATGCTGTCCCACTGCTATTTTGGTACAGCAACAATGAATCACCTCTATTACTCAACACATCCATTCTTAAGAATGCTGGATTACCATGATTTGTATCAGCACTGGTGTTCTAGCATGAGTGTCTAGCAGAATTATACAGCAGTTGGACCATAAACATGAGAATTTTCTGGGGCAAAAATGGGACTCCTGCTGTTCAGTTCCACATAACAATTTCTGGACACTTACCACCTAATGGACTGTAGTTCTGAAACTCATCTCAAATAAACAGTAGCAGCTACCACACTGAAAAAGTCTCCTAAGTCTATGTGGAAAATGTCAATGTGGAGGAAAAATAAAAACCTAACTGGGAACTTGCTAGCAAATTTCAAGTAAAAATGAAAGTTTTTGCTTCAAAATTTTGCTAGTCTGTCCCAGTAATTCTAGTTCAGATGTCTTGTGCCCCTCCTCTCTTCTAAAGCTTAGTGTCTCTAGACTGTTCTCTCCTAGCACATGCCAGACATCCTCACCAAGGCAACTGTGATACCCCTGCTAATGACACATCATGAGAAGCAGGACCTAGATGAGAAACTGCCCAACAGTGAGAGACAGGAGACATACAAACTGTATTTATATTAAGGGGTTTATGCCTTATTTGACTTCTCATGAAAATACAAAGAATAGTTCTTTTGATGTCAAAGTGTACATTTTAACATGTTTTACCAAGTCTCTGTCAGCACCTTGAATGCACCGAGAGGAACTGTTAATGCTTTCCCCCCATCCCCTGAACTTGGCAGCTCAAGGTGAGATCTGGCACTGCACAGCTGTGAAACCTTGGGTAAGACTGTGATGAAAATGTTGTGCAAGAGTTGGGAGAATGCTTGTTAAGCACCTTTTCCCTTCATTTGGGACCTATACCAAAGCCTAGACTGAATTAAATGTCAAGTCATATTAATGATATGCCTGTATCTGTCCAGGTACCTCACAGATCTTGAACTCACAGATTTGACTCCCTGGCTTGACCTAGGACTTGGCTCATCAGTACAGAGGCACTTGGAGATCTGAACTCTTGGCTTGACCCTCTTTGCTGTCATTGGACTGCTCTGCTCTCTTTGTTCAGGTATTGTGAGACTGCTCCTTCATGGATGATGCATGCCACTGCCCCCTGCCTTCCCTGCTGACAACTCCCAGTTCAGCTCACTTGTGGAGAAGCTCACTTTTCCTTCTCCTTAAGTGTCAAATTCAGTTGTCAAATGAAGAGGAAAAAAAAAGCAAATGACTTTTCAGAGAGCACTTGATGAAGGTGGGTGGTTCTTTCTACCAATGTTGCTATTAATTCAGCCCAAAAAGTTTTAGAAAAACATGGTATGTTCATATGTGTAAGTATAAAGATCAGTACTCACGCAGAAGTTGTCTGCATATCATGCCAGCTTTTGCTAAAGTTCTGCTTCAGTTCATTCATCAGACTTATGCCAAGTTTTTGTTTAATTTCAACCAGGTGCTTCTCTTTGGCTGCTAGCACTTGCCGCAAAGTTGAAATTTCATCCTCTAGCTGAGGGAAACAAGGAGAAAGGAGTTAGCCTGTTCCCACAGAATGATAAACACATGCAGTGTTAAGAGGCTAAATGAATCTCACAAACTTGTGCTTTTTGTAGGTACCTAGAGAGACTGAGTCAAGAGCTTGTGAAGGTCACAAAGGCATGCCCAGAACAGAGCTGACACTCTGTTAAATTAATGCCTCTGTGTCACCTATGCTCACCGTCACACACATGCATCTGATAAGGGAGAGAATTATCCAGTAAGGAAGCGACTTCACCCAAATCTGCCATGGAGCATTAGGAGTCTCAAATACCAGCTTTTCATTCACTAGTAAAATGGGAATGGACAGGACAAGAGAAGACTGGAAAATTCAATCAAATATATTTATTTGAATGCACAGGCTTTTAACTTCATACTTGCAGGTTTTTAGTCTTCTGGTCCTGAAAAAAGCATATGCAAATTCTTAGGAGCAGATTAAAAAAATAGAAAAAGCTGCATGATAATATATGACTTGAGAGTACCATCAAATGTAATATCCTTGTCATATGAGTTTTATTTTTGTATTTTAGGCCCTACATATTTCAAAATTGTAACATAAAAATTTATAGTTGAACTATTAGTATGAGTGATCAGTACCTAAAGCATAAAAGCATTCAGAAGACAGAGCAAATTAGTTTTTCCAAAGATCCTAGTATTTAACCAAACTGCAATTTCAAGCTGTAAAGAATACATCCAGCCCAAACAGAGCAATATAATTCTCTTTGCAGTAAACATTTTTTGAAACATTTAATCAAAGGCAGTGTTTTCCAAGGCAAGAACCAGGACTGTAAGAAGAGGGACTCCAGAATGGCCCTGCCCACTGGCTCAGAATCCTGCTCCTTGGGCAGCACTCCTGCAAGGGAGCAGGGCTTTGTGTTCTTCACCTGCAAGCCTCCCAAGCTAATCTACACAAGCAGCACACTAAGATATTGAAGCTAACAAGGACAAGTGACACCAGAGCAGCTGCCTTTCACTTCAGGTTTAGAAATTCCCCTATCAACTGTGTTCCTTCCTCCATATGTTAGTAAGGTAACATATGGCAACTTATCTGATTACCATATGCTAAGTTCCCTGGAGGCACAGTCTCCCTCTGATTTAACTCCATTGGCTGCAGGGAATGATGCAAGCACCAGCTGAAGCAGTACTGATCTCCAAGGCTATATTTAGGATATCAGCACCAGCATTATTTTATTTTACACATTCATGCATTCTGCCTCACTGTAAAACTGGCTGCAAGGTCACTGTTTTTGGTAAAGTCACATCCTTGAATCCCCCAGCTATGTTTCTTTTGTCATTACCTGCTATTTCAATATACAAGCAGCTCAGGAATTAAGCAGCAAGGCTATGAACACAGAGCAAAATCATGACCTGAGTGAAGTAGATATTAATATTCACCAATGCCTGTGATGCCAACACCTCACCAGTACTGTTGTTAGATACACAGCAATCCAAATTGCTTTGTTCCTCCCCATGTCCTGTGTGCTCCATTATATTCCTAACCTGCAAATAGAATACTGTCAAGAGGCAGGTGTCAAGAGGCTCTCTTCTGAGAAAATAAATGGTTATATGCTTATAGAAAGAAAGCACAAATGTCAGCATTCCTCAGGCAGCAGTTCAGAGCTCATTTTGGTTCTTTCTCACCAAGAGCAAACCCCTTAGTGCACGACTACCTGTGCAACACTGCTAAAGAGCTTTACTTAAACTGATGCCAGGACACTTTATGGGCCAGTGCTAGGTTGATCATCAGGTACTTGGATATATAAATATTTCAGGCCTTTTATTAAAATTACTTTCCATCTGTTTCATTGAATAGACATCTTAAAGCTGTGATAATCTAAACAATCATTAGCCTTGTGCTCAATGGCAGAACTATGAGCAACATTTTTGATTAAAGAAAAGTAATTTATTATTTATAACACAGCAATCAGTTTTGAATTGACAAAATCCTCCTCAACTTCCATCATTTTGAAATAATGACAGATACAAAGCTGCCCTCAAGTGCTCAAATATCAGTGATGACTCTGAAGTAGCTAGAAAGGATTAGGGACTTACAGTAGGATCTTGAAAAGCATTTAAGCATGTAACAAACCTAATTCTCATGGAAGTCAGGCATCACTTGTTAAGGAATTTTTTAAGTCCACTTTTGTAAATGCTTATAACTCCATTATAAAACTAGGGCTTCAGTCAACAGAAATACAAGCTTCTAATTATCATAGTTCCCTTCTTTCAAAGTGCAACAGAGTCAGAAGAGTATAGGCACATCATACAGAAAAAAAGTTCTCCCATAAGTTTGCAGAAAAAGGTATTTTTATAATCTTTCCTCAAACTGGGAACAAACATGCAGTAACACACACTGCTGATGCTGTGCATCAGCTAGATCAAACCAGATAGCTCCTTCTGGGAAGGTGTGGGAGGGGGAAGACACCAAAGAGTAAATGAGTACTTTGATGAGTGTAATGGAAGGACAACTGACAGCAGTGAGCAAGGTAGTTCAAAATCTCAGCCCCCAGCATGACTCAAGAGTCATTGTACAATGCTCCTCACAGCAAAGGGGGCGGGGGGAATCTGTTCTGCTAACAATCTCCTGGCCTTATGTAAAGCTTTTGGGCTACAATTTTCTGCTGTTATTCTGAAAAGTCAGGCTGACCTCTGTAAATTCAAATGACTGTTAGAAGTTTCTGTAAGAGTTACTCATTTTAGCTTCATTGTAGAAATCCTAAGGCTTGATTAGAGTCAGAGTCCTGCTGTGTTAGCTAGGCTACAAATACAAGAACAGAGCAAGTCCATGTTCTGAGAAGTTTCCAGTAAAAAGAGATTATTAGCAGAAGAATAGGAATAGAGGACACAAAAAAAATCCTGCCAGAAAAACAGTAGTGCTTGTTCCTCTCCTATTGTCAGAGTGAGAAGGAGGAAGAAAGCAAAATATATACACATTAGATACACAACACAGAGATGAAGCACATATTTTCTGCTTAAATAAATGCACAACAGGTGCTCACAAACAGATCCCATTTTATCAACGATTGATAGAAGAATTAAGGATGATTTTTACCCTTCAGAACAGTAAGATTTTTACCCCTCAGAACCCCTGAAACAGGACTGTTTGAGCCTGTAGGATCAAACAGTAGGTGCTTGTTCCTACAGGCTCAAAGAGGTATTACTTAGCACATAAGAACATTGAAGAAAACAAAACTATCATTGGTGGAGCAGAAAGGGCTTGTAAGTAAAGACTTACAGATTTGCAAAAGGAAACATTACCCAATTCCCACATTAGCAAATTTTTCTTTGTGAAGGAGGCAATGTCACACTTTTTTTTTGCAGTCTTTTATAAGAGTCATAAGCCTCATTTAACTTTAGACTTTGTTCAGACTTTGTTCAGACTTTGTTTCTCAAACCTTTCTTAGCATAGTTATCAGTTTTATTTTGCTTTTAAGCATCAGCTGCATGTCAGTAAACTGCTGCAAGGAATTCAGAAAATAATTCTGAGGTCAGTCAAGATCACAATATTTGACAGGCAATCTCTCACTTGTATGTTAGTACAGGAATTAAAGCATTTCCAGCACAAGCTAACAAGAATTCTCTCTCCTATGGTGATCAGTAAGCAGAAGGGATACCCAGAAACACTTGAGATTAATTCTGTTGAGAGAGGCATATCATTCTCAGATGATTGCAGGAAGTTCTGGCCTTTTTTCCTTCCTTGTTTCTACCTGCCTGTGAAGCCCCCTTCACCAGAGAAGAGAATCACAGAATGGCTGAGGCTGGAAGGGAGCACTGTAGCACATCTGGTTCAAGCCCCACCTAGAGCATGTTTCCCAGGACTGTACCCAGACAGTTTTTAAATATCTTCAAGGATGGAGACTCCAAAATTCTTTGGGTACACTGCTCAGTCACACACACATTAAAAACATGCTTCCTGATGTTCAGGGGGAACCAACTGTGTTTCAGTGTGTGCCCACTGCCTCTGGTCCTCATAAAAAGCCAGTATTGAATACGCCAAATCCTAACTAATTTGATAAACTGAGTATGTAAACTTTCAGCTTCCTTCTGATTATTTACAGATGTGACAGGATCAGCAAAGAAGTAAAAGTTAACTAGTAACTCAGAAACACAAGGATTGATAAAATACTTAAGTGAAAAAACAGTCTTCTGTTTCACTTGAAAATCCACTTGAATTGGCACTGCAGGTAAATTACTTGAAAGTCATTACAGATGTTACTTCTTAGAGTACTTGTAAGTACTTTGTAAGTATTCTAAGTACTACAACTTAATATCAATTTAAGTATTCCAGTTAAGGCAAAACCAACTCCTCACATTCATATGGCTGTGATTTCTGTTATTTGACTTGTATTTCAAAAAATTAAACCTACAGCTTTCCCTAGTCTCTCATTTTTCATTTCAGAATTTCACTTTACTGCAGTATTCAACAGTAATAATTAAAATTGAATCCACCCTTCCACGGTAGACCAAATTTAGACAATTTCTTTAATCTTTGTAATAAAGAGATCATGTGGTTCACACCTTTTACTTCCCATCTCCTTATTATTTTTAAGCCTCTTCAGTGTCCTGAGTTCCAGACTCCTGAAAAAGGATACTACCTTCTCAAAACACATCAGTGCCAAAGGAAACAAAAATGTGATAAAATTACGGTGCTTGTTATCATCAGCCTCTTCTGCAACCATCATTATTACCTTTTCCTCTGAGCACCACAAAAAGAAATGTTTCTATCAGGTGGCACAACCACTGTAACAACAATACCAGATCTAATGAGAACACCTTTCATTCTTTTTCAAGGAACATTTATAAATAAAGACACGTTTGACTAAGATGGGACCGTGCATTTTGATTTTCACAGTACAATCATCAAGTAGAAGATATTTAACCTTCAAAAAATAGGTATATAAGAAAATTATGAGCTACATTACTGTTACCTAGAATAATTTTACCAAAAAGGAAAGGCATGCCTTTATGATGTATACTTCATCCTAAAATTAATATTTCCAGTTTAAGGAAGTAGAAACACTAACACTCACAGAAATTCAAATTCATTACCTTGGCTAGCTCAGTCTTTAACTCTTCTTTTTCTTCTTCAGAAATCATATTGGTGAAATCAACATCAGTGACCACATCTTCATCTGCTTCATGAAATGGCTGAGTTTCCAACAGGCCTTAAAAAATTAAAAGGTCAAGACAACCATTATTCATTATTTCAACCATTGAATTGGCCTGCCCTAAAATCCAAGAATGATATAGTATTTACCCACTAGGGGAAAAAAAAGAACCAAACAAAGAAAAAACAACTTTTGTCCTGCTACAATCATTTGCATTCAGCTTCTCTTCACTTCTGAAAAGCTATTGGAAGTTTCAGAGAGTAGTGTCTGCACAGGAGCAATTTAATATGTGTAAACACCACTCATTCCCAGAAATTAATCACCTTGGACCCTACTAATCCCTGATAAGGCATTTTTTTGCTTCTAACAATACAGAAGAAAAAAAGAAGGCTTTTTCCTCAAAATAAGAAAGCTGGCTAATGTGGATCACTGATGCGAAGAGCAGCAATAGTACAGTGATTAATAAAGGAAGTATATTACAGAGCTAAGTTTTCTCTAAAAGTACCTCTGATTACAGCAACTTGAAACCTTACAGATGCACACAGTTTGCAGAAGTTAATGCCACATATATTGTTTAAATTTTCTGAATATTAATGAGAAGCATTCCTCGCTTGCTCAATCTAAGCCGGTGAAGGGGGGAAAATACACTGGACCTTGTTACTTTCTTCTGCATGCCCAAGATCAGGGTCAGTATCTATAATAAGCAAGGTAAGTGCATACATAAATGCTTGCAAGACCAGGGCCTGCCTGGCATAATAGGTACTGATGAAACAAAATACTTCCTATCTCCCAATCTTTAAAGTGAAGAATAGATTGCTGGGGCTCCAGCCACTAAGAGCCACTCATTCTTTATGGTCTGCAGAGAAAACAATGCAAACCATGAGATAACAGAAAACATTCTAGTCACTTTGGAATTTGTTTTAAATTCTAGATCATCTTCTGTTGTGGAACAAAAATCTCCTCCAGGTTACACCTGGGACAGCACTTTCCTCTTTATTTCAGTTCCCCAGCAGGGTAATGAGCCATCTCTGCTGACTGCTGCGACCTGTATACTGCTTAATATGGAAGAGAACAATTTCTTTCCTAGCTCCACAGAGGCTGGTATACTCTATTATAAAGAGATTAAAATACAGCTTAGTTAAGTTTGGACATTAAAGAACAGAGGTTACAAGGAACAAGTCTGTTGAGATTGAGTACTTTACATTTTCATGCAGAAAACAAAATTCCCTCCAGCCTTCTGCCATTTCCTTCACCTAGAGTCCCCCAGTGTACCTGTATTTCCTTCTATTTAACAGAACAGAACTGATTCGATTCATACTGTCAACTTCCCTGCAGAACATGATGAATTCAGCCTTGTTAATTACAATCTTCCCTGAGTGGGAAGATAAAGGGCAGCAACACAGGTGCTGAACCCCTGCTTGGCACCATATGCAGAAATAGATCACCACCCTTAAGCACACATGTTTTAAAAACATGATGGCATATAGAAGTAGTTGAAATCTTAGTTATTACCCAAAAAGCAACTTGCCAGGAAAACCTAGATTGCTGAAGTCAGGACAAAGGAAAGCATATTTATTCAGTAGGAACACTCCCAAATCACCTTTATTAACACCCCTACATCTCTAAACACATTGTTATTTGGTATTTGTTTGAGGATTAATAGTGTTGCTATGGGACTCAAGCTAAACTTAGTCTGCACAATCTTGAAAGGCAGTCTATTTTTTCATGGATGGAGGAGCAGTGGTACAGGGCAGCTGTTGGAAATGCAGGGAAGGATCTAAGGAGCAACAGGGCTGAAAACCCTTAAGGGAGGCCTTGGGATAGATGTTGAGATGAGGTGATCTCAGACCAACTGATCCTTAAGCTAAAAAGAAGGCAGATCCATGCTCAAGGGATAACAATAGTTTTGGAACAGCTAGGTAAGAGATGGAAGCCAACATGGACAAAATCACCAGAAACAACTGAATAACACTTAACACTCGGCCCACTGGTCAAATTTAAAACTTCAAGACTGGACTGAAATTACAATTCATTCCAAAACAACAAATACATATCAATCTTCTCTATGATACTTTGCAAACTCATCCAGTTTCTCTCCCAATTTTTGTCCTTTGCTTCTTGTTTAAGTCCTCTAAAATCTAGTCTGATTCTTCAGTCTCTACCTCCTTGTTCAAGCTATGAGAGTTCTCCATAATGGTCACTGTCCCTCTGCAAATGTTTCACTTTGGTCAGCTGCAGTCTGAACATCTCTTTAGCATTCTGTGGGTCACAGCCTTCTTTAGGCCAGTCTGAGTTCTGAAACTTCCTTATGTGAGAATACTTAGATTCTAGCAGCAACAATAGCAGAGTGGTTACAATTAGGACATCATAGTTGTAATGGAGCACAGCAGAGGTCAGCATCCCCCAGCTCAGACTCATATTGTATGAGTTCTCCACAGAAGTTAGAGAGCTCATCAGCCCAGGTGTGCTGATAACCTAGCACAGTGCTTTGGAGCCTTGAGTTAGGACTCAAGGATGTTTTGGATCACAGGTGTACCTATTGCTCAGGATTTGTGGGTGTCTCTGCACTGTGTGACACTGCAAGGCCAGCAGAACATTTCTTCCAGTCACTGGTGTCTCTCTCTAGATACTGTCATGTCTCACACTTTGGTCTCCAGACTGAAGGAAGCTCTGATTCCCTGACCATGCAAGAGATGGAGCAGCCCAGCACCCTCCAGGACAACTGAAGGGATGTAAGCCCACCTACAAGTTCTCATCTCATACAGCCTCAAAGTCTGGGTGGCCATGGATCAGAAGCATCGAATCATAGAATATTCTGAGGGATCATCACAGGGATCATCAAAGCCCAGCTTGTGACCCCAGGCCACGCCCTAGAGTCATACCGTGTGTTCCAGAGTGCCCAAGCACTTCATGAACTCTGTCAGGCTTAGAGCTGTGACCACTTTCCTGGGAAACTTCTTCAGTGTCCAACCTCTGGGTGAAAAACTTTTCCTTAATATCCAAGTTAAACCTCCCCTCCCCTTAAACAGCTTCAGGCTGTTCTCTCAGGTCCTGCCCACTGGTCATGAGAGAAGAGATCAGTGTCAGCCTCTACTCTTCCCTCATGAAAAAGTTGTAGACTGCTATGAGGTCTCCTCTCAGAACTGAAGAAGACTAAGGCTTTTTCCTCTCTTGCCCAGCTACATAACCTGACAACACACAGGAACTGCTCTGGGGAAAGACAGTACTTTTGCTTAAAGATGCATAGGTATTAGTTATGAGCCATGAAGGCTTGATCACTCTGGGAAGGGAGTTGTACAAGTAGCTGAATTGTTTTCAAGATTAACATAAGGTCATTGGTAGCAGGAAAAAAAAAATTGCCTTCAAATTGCATTTCCTTCCCTCTCACCTACTCCTCCCAGAAATACTGAAGATCATGCCTTGCTCCCACCCAGCTGTTGTCAGATCTGGAAAATCTGGAATTGTGATTAAATTGTCATTAGTTGTTCAGATGCAGAGCTGCTGTTAATTCAGAAATGCACTAATATCCAGGTGTGGAATTGGAAACTAGCTTTCCATCCTTTTAGAAGAACAATTCAGTTGTTGGGTGGTTGAATAACTTCTGCTTTACTTTGTAGTATAGGTGTTATAAGCTGCCCTGAATGAATTAGGAGCTCATCCAGTACTTCACCAGCCATTTACAAGAACCTGTGGCTTTGGTGATGTCCTGTATCTCTTATGTCCCTTACTAACAGCACAGTATTTTAGGCATTGATCTCCACATATTGATCTAAAGCACAGGTTTTCCAAGTTTCATTCAGGCAGGCCACTACAAGGTAAGGCATGAGGATAGAGCCTAGACACTACCACTAACTAACATCTGTTTTCTTCTTCTACTATGTCTTATACAGATTAACTTAACTGAATTTAAATTCAGTTGCTGTGCCTGCCCTATTATACTATTATATTATTATAAGCAGCTCTATTATACTAAAAGAAAAAATGGAACAGAATGGAACAGAAGCTGTCTTAGAACCTGTTCCTTGAACTTCCCCTCCCTCATTCTCCATGGTCAGCTAAGGAGTTCTCATTACCTATCCCCTTCTTTCCATTTCTCCATTTGCAATAAAACTCAATCCAGAGCTTAATCAATTAATCAACAATAAGCTCTTGGATATGCTGTCACAAGACTCTGCCCAGAGACAGATGCAAGAGCCAGCCCACCTCCCTCATTATCTCTTCCAGACAGCCTTGTCTTGTGGTGTAGGATTGCTGGAGACAAAACTGCAGGTTTCTATAGTCTTATACAACCTGCTGTTGCTACAGCAAATTACACTAATAATATACTCATGTGTAACTCATCTATCCTCCACAAACACGGAAACTAGTGATTTTCTGGACATATGTTACTTCAAAATAACAAAAAACCCCGCCCCCATAAAGAGTGGGAAATCATAAAATAGGTTCTAATCAATGCAAAAGACTGTTTGGCTGCTAGTTTAAAGAAGGTTTTAGCACTTACTGCCACATATATCATTAGATAAAATGTGAATGAAACATTAAAAGTATGGGATTATCAGCAAATAGGAACTGAAATCATACAGAAGGACCCAAGTTGAAACAAATGAGCAGAAAACCCTTTCTATTAGGAGACTTATACAGAAAGAAGTAGGAGGAGGTGAATAGCTGGGGAAGCCCATTAATTGTGTTCTTTTGCAAGATTCCTACGACAAAACAATACAACAACCAGCTGAAATGGGCATTTTTGATTTTCTCCCAAAGCTCATGGTAGCTGTGGCTAAGACTAGTGACCCTAATTCTACAGTCTGCTGTTAAATCTCATTTAATGCAAGAAACTGTTTCAGCATTGATCAATACCTGTGCATATGTTTGCCAGTAGGATTGTAGGGATGAAAAATTTAATATGCCACTTAGAATCTAGAAGATCTGTAACTATTCTACAAAATTTAAAATAACCAAATAATACAATGATAAAATCCATAACAGATTTTTTTTTACTTACTCAGGTATTTAAAGGTTAACGACATAAAGATGGTTTAGTTAGTGCTTTTTATGTC